ATTTATGATATTTCTCAAAATAGAAGTTTTTTTTTTTGATTTATTTATTTATTGAATGATCATTGAAATATTTGAATACGTTTATTTTGATTTCATTATATTTTTATTGTTAATCAATATTAATGATATATAAAGATTTGAATTAGAAACGAGTTTGAAATTTTAAAGCTAATTTGAATCATAAGAAATAAGAGAATTTTCCATAGATTATATTTATTGAACTAAATAGACGAAGCATTTCAATAAAAATCAAAATCAATATGTTCATTTACTTCACACTTTTATTTTCATCAACTGACATTGTAAATATTAGAAACCCGTATGATTCTTTGGTTAAAAAATCTACAATATCGATTTTATTTCACAATATACAAGAATCTTTTGTTTTAAGTACGAACAAAACAACGACATCGTTTTATATTAAAAAAAAAAAAAAGAAAGAAAGAAAGAAAAAAAAATCCGTTTCTCGATGTTCGCTGATAATGCAAAAAAAAAAAATCAGTATCTTCGTTGCGCGGGTCATAATAAGACTCTGCTGCTATGTTAATGATTTTTGAAGTTGACTGTCAATATATTTCTCATGTTATCTTTTCATTTTTTGTTCTTACAGCATCTAGAACATCTGCTATTTGTGTTTTGACAGATTGTTTACATCATGTAGTTATCATACACGTTCAGTTATAGTTAAAATGTAAAAGTTTGCGATTTTTATGCAAATTATATCATTCTCAAGGGGATATGGTTCATGAAGGTTCACGGTATATAAAGAGAATCCTTATCGGTTTCAAAGTTATCAGCCGCTGATAAATGAACGAAATATCTGTTATTCCTTCCGGACAGTAAATCCTAAATATCTGTAATCAATTATTCAATTAGTCGGAATAATTATCATAGTACTTACGTAACAAGCGAGATTAATAATTAATAAGATCAAAGATCGTTATAACTTGCGTTTTACCATTGCATTTGCAAACAAGAAATTATTTATAAACGTCTAGACTGAATGCAAAAATGTTTGATATTCATGAAATTAATCAAAGAAATAAAAATCTTGTAAAAATTTTTAATAAAGCGTGAATAAAATAAGCATAAAGTGAAATTCTTTTATTTTGTTGTAATTGTTCGTGAAATTAGTAAATTATTCGAATTTAATTACGGTATTATAGTTACATTCGAATTTGTGTGTTTTAAATACATATATATTCTATTAATATATTTAAATTAAAGTTAATTTAATAGCTTGATATCTGATTTTTCAGTACACATTTCATTTCAATAAAAAAAATGCAATTCATATTTTTTTTGTATTGGAACAATATTATTCTCATGATATATATTGAAACAATAACAATAATAATTTAATATAAATTTATATATGCTAATGGTAATGTTATTAGATTGTTAATTTTAAAATTCATGACAATCATTTTTGATCAATTGTCTTGAAAAATATTATCTGTTAATGAGATAAATAATATTAAATCAACTTATTTTTTCATATCAATTATTGTAATTTTCTAGCAATCTTCAAAATGAGTTTTGTCTTTATTACTAATATATTATTAAATATATATGCAACATAATATTGAATATAATAAATTTAAAAAATTTATAGCTAATAAAAATTCGAAAATCAAACAATAATTATTTTAATAGAGAATCTGAATATTAAATCATAGAAGATATTATAAGTTACATTTTATACTTACAATCTATTTACAAAGATTGAAATATACACATGATTTTATAAGATAAATGTAATAGA